AAAATACAAGTCAAAGTTGCAGTGCCAAGTGGACAGCAATCACTCATACACTAGCATATACAGTATAGGTAGATAGGTCTTTTTCAGTTTCTTATAAGATTTTTACAATTTCTTGCTTTAGTAGCTAAAATCTGACACACTTGTTCAGTCCCTGATCAATTTTTTTTAAGTTGGGAAAATGGTTCGGATGTTTTCAATTACAAATAGTGTGGGAAATAAGCTATTTTTCTATTTTAAAAATGCAGCTTTAAAAAAAACAGCAGCTCTGGCACCTCAGTGGGAGATGAAAGAAACTTAAAATTTGACAGGGACATCGTGCCAAATGGCAAATTTGCCTTTCACGGATACGATTCAAATCAGCTCTGAGTTGCCAGAGGGATAAGGGTTAAAAAAACAACTCCATTCTTCACAATTACACACTGACTTTTATTATACAAATAACACTCTGACACCATACAAATGGCTCCACGCATGTATTCAGTCATGTGGTGAATGAGGAAGGATCCTGGATAAACAGTATGTGATCATATAGTCAAAGGAGGACCCTGCTAGGTTAATTGGGCCACTTCCTGCTTTTGAGGTCACTTCACTAACCTGTAAGACAGCTTTAGATAAATCTTTTTCAATATGTCACATCACCAGCTGGGAGAGGACTGTTGTCCTGCCTCTAACCTTGTGGGGCACCTAGGCGAGCTCAGAGCTCCACTGTGCCAATCCATGCCCACGGGCTCTCACTGACCTGCACTCCCAGGGCCCCCTGAGCCCTGGAGAGGGTACACGGGAAGGCAGTGATGCTGTTGGGGAGTGGTGCTGAAATTCACTGCTCACAGGGAGCAGTGACTAGCACACCTCATCCCCTTGTAGGGCTTCTGGGGTCACCCCTGCCCCTAAAACCTGCTCCCCCTAGCACCACTGCTCCCCCATAGACCCTTCAACACAGCACCCCTGCCCCACTCCTAGCACCCCTACAGTCCCCAGCACCCTAGCTCCTCCCCAAGCACCCCTGCTTCCCTACAGACCCCTCCTCCCAGTGCCCTCCAAACACCACTCATTCCCCCCAGTGCCCCTGCTCCCCTACAGACCCCTCCCCCAGCACCCTCCAACCCCACTCATTC